TTCTTATTCCATTACTTTCTGTACTACTACGCTACTACGTCATTACTGTAGATTTCATTTTACTATTTTTATTGTATACCAAAGGACTACTGTTCGTTAATAAAGTGTTGTTATTATTGTTATATTGGAAAGAATTAGGCGGGAGAAATTTTTTTCAGAAAAGTAATATTTGATTTAACTAAAGATAGAATATTCAAATTTTTGTATTCAATTTTTTTATTGAAGATTTGCTTGTCTCCTTCCCTTCGTAGAGGAGAATAGCGAGAAAAACACGAAGGAATTTCATCTTTGAGTGCTTTCGTTTATCGAAGATAATCGATATATTTCAATGATTCAAAAACTTTTTTTTTACCGAACGTCGCGGTTTCGAAAGAGGAACACGGTTCGTCTGTTACTTCATTTCACCGGCGAATTATTTACTCGCTGGCTGATCAATGTTTCACGACCTCGAACGTTCGACCGCTCGAAATATTTTGCGTGAGCGTCCATCGTCGCGAAGCAACGAGGATTATTTATCTTCACGAGGTAACGACTACCTAATCGTTTATATTTTTCGTTTCCTCTTCGCGTTTCTCGCTCGTGTCTTCGCTGTCTTGTGTCATTCAGCCTGGCTTCGAGGAACCATCCAGTTTATCAATTTCCCTCGAAGCAAAAATAGATCCAGATGCAGGGTGGTGACGCCATCAGAGATAAAGATTCCTCTCACAATGTTGAAAACATAAGTTTAGTTACGTACAAAAATCAATCTAGAGTAGAAGACGTGAGTAAACAGTTTATGAGACCTAGATTTTGAGAACGAATATTTATATAAACGTTAGGTAAGAATTGAGGGTTTATTACTGACTGAGACTAGCCCTTTCGACCAGTTACGTAATTTTAGTATAATCTCCGACGACTTGGAAGGAGTTAAAAAATAGATCAAAAGGAGTTTCAAAGTCTAGGCAACTGACTGTCGGTGATAATTATATCCGAATTTGCCAGCGAGCTCGTGGTCCATTAAAACGTTCTGAATTATTCGTGCTTTCGCTGCTCCTCGTCCAACTCGGTGGCTCTATAATGCACCCGCAGCAAACTTTAGTCGGATTTAAACACTTTTTGATCCGTTTCGTTGCGTTTGCCTCGCACGGAGCGTAAGCACTACGGGAACCGGATCAGATCGACGCCATTATATTTCCGCTTCGCGTAGAATCGGCGGCGGGAACGTGGCCTCAGTTGGGATGAGTTAGAGCCCGACGACTGACCTATCCCATGTCGGACGACCTCGACGAGCTTCGAAGGCCAACGCACCGTAATTCATAACTTTATCAGACCTTCTCTGCCAGGTTACCCGTGTTCCTGTGCGAAGAAACCGCGTGCTGCGGAATCGCGGCCATGTTCGGCTTTCGTTTTCCAACCGCCAGGTTAAACCACGGGAAAATTCAATCTCCGATATTCCCTCTAATATTATTTTCCTGTGCATTTGCCTTGGGAGTGATCGAGTAGAGGACCGTGTAACCGGTGCATTCGAGTTTACTTAGCTTTAACCCTAAAACTACCAATCTAGATTGTATGATTAGTTCTTTTTCTTTTATGCACTCTATTTGCTATCTACACTTCGTTCCATGGAATTGTACGAATCGAAGTGGTTCGATGAAAATATCGAAAAACGTCGAAAATATTTCCAAGTTGCACCCTTAACGCTGGTATTTCAAAAATCTGTCAAATTACTTATCTTTTTTACTCGAAAATATGTCTTTAAAAATATTAGTGTTGATTTATAGAGAGGAAGCAGGAATAAAGGAATGTAATTAGGGTGTTTCAAAAATCGGAGTACAACGATTTTACAGTCAAGCAGTTTGTATCTAAATTTTTGTTTAAATATGTGCTCCGATTGTAAGAATTTCTGGCCTAATTGCATGAATTTTTCTCTTTTTCTTCACTTGCGAAACTCGAGCTTTTGTCTGGTAGTGTAACTTGTTTTTAACGACGGATAGTTAAAGCGGCTGAGTTTATAATTGCGTTGTTGTTTTAAAGAATTGCACAGGGGATTAAAAGAACACATCTGCGATTAATATCACGTTTTAGTAGAATTTATAAATAGCGTGAGTCGTGATTAATATAAGCGTTGAGTGCGAGGAAAATTAAAATGGTATTTGCAATTGTGATAAAATGGAGGAAAAGCATAAAATAGAAGTGATATAAAAAAATAGCAGGGGAATGTAGGAAATTTTTTGAAAAAATAGGCGTTATGAAATATTTCGCGAAATATCTATCTCTTAAGTGTGATTTAATAGACTCACAACAGGCAGCGTGCAAGGAATAATAGCATTAAAACATACGATTGAATTAAAAAGTGAGAAAGTGTTATACTTTATTCGCGCAGAAAGTCGAGGAAACAGTTTTTCCACTCTATTGTTTATAATACCTCCTTTGTAACAGGGCTGCGATTTATCTCAATTGCAGTACGCACCCCCTATAGCGATTTTAACATCGTATCGTCAGAGTCTCTGCGTGCATCCATGTTTCTCAACGATTACAATTAACCTTTACGAAGAATAATGCACCATATTTCTACCTTCTGTTATTATCTACTATACGCGAGTTGTAAAAACACGAAACAATTTTACAAAGTGCAATTACGAAGTTCATCACTGGCTTAAAATGTCACGACGAATGATTTAAGCGAATTAAACGATTCAGGAATTATTAAAAATTTATTAAAAATTTTTCCAAGGATACGCGTAATTATAAAGAAGAAAATTACGTTAAAAACGTGGAAGCAAGAGACAAATGCAAGAAAGTAATATGGCGTCAATGTGGTACCTGGTTCCAAATGCTGCGACTGCCGGCGTTAGCGCGATCGCAGCGAAAGATAAAACTGCGAGTCTGTATTTTTCTGCGAATGAAGTGGCGTTCTGAACTCAATGGCGAATTTAATACGAGATAGAGAGATGGGACGAGCATAGCGCGTGTACGCGTACGAATTCGTGAGAAATTATGGAATGAAGAAGGAGATATAAGGGAGCCTCGAATATTCAGATGCTCTTGGAGAAAGAACATGGCCGCGTGTAATGAGGCGTGTCTAACTTGTACAGTGTACACGACGTTTTATTAACTTTCCTAATTGTGGGAAAAGAAGATGTAAATAAATTCACTATGAACTGGCATAGTAATTAATGTAAATTGATGGAAGGAGTTATTACAGCTACTGTAACATCGCTACATAGGACATGTCGTAATGATGATTAGGGGTGATTAGAATCCAAAGCAACTGTTGAGGGTATCCTAACGATTTCCAATTATGGAAAAAGGAGATATAAGAATATTCACTATGAACTGGTATAGTAATTAATACAGATCGATGAAAAGAGTTATCAAAACTACTGTAACACAGTTACATGGGACATATCATAACGGTGACTAGGGCTGATTATAATACAAATAGACTACTGAGGGTACCCAAGCGATTTTCAATTGTGGAAAAAGAAAATGTAAATAAATTCAGTATGAACTGGCATAGTAATTAATGTAGATCGATGGAAAGAGTTATTAAAACTACTGTATCATCGCTACATAGGACATGTCACAACGGTGATTAGGGGTGATTAGAATACAAAGCGACTGTTGAGGACATCCCAGCGATTGTTTTAAAACCTCCTTGCAATTCGAGTGAACTGTGTGATCCTTGGATAGTCCTGACAAGTATTAGCCAAAAGAAGTTTTAAGGGTTCTTCTTAATAGCTTGTTTGATTTTTCCAATACATTTGAAAAATCGTTACAACGAACCATTAAGACCATATGTTTTGAAATTAATAGAGCCTGTTTGTACAATCTTGGACTCTGTATGTTGCATTTTTTGTCAAATAAAATTGAAAATTATTGGTGCTACGAGCCGTTGTTTGATTTCCTAAAAATCCGTCATTCAGGTTCTTACTGTTACCTGAAATAAAAATACTCAACAGGATTCCCACAGGACTCCCTTAAGTATAATTTATTTGTTTACTATAAGCAGAATCACCTCCACCTCGGTTGTACTACCGTTTCTGGAACACCCTATATTTGATCAGTCCCATTTTCACATATTTCGACTCACTTTTGACAACTTTTCTATCATTTCTCAGTAAATTGATAAAGGAATTTTTTATTCCTTGGAGATCCCCTTAAAAATCCCAAAGGAATTTTTCATTTCCAGGTGACGTCAAAAATGGTCTTTCTTTAACATCCTCTTTCCATTCTATTAACCGAGTTGATAGAAAGATTCTCAAACTTCGCGATGTTTCCGTAGAGTTCATTGTACCAAAAGTTTCCCTCCGATTCATCCATTACTCCTTGCAACGTGGTTTAAAGCCATCGCACGTCAGAAGGCTACGCTCGTAGCCTTCGAAATGGCGCGGGGCTAAGCAAATTCCATCGTCAGTCGTTGAAACGTGCGTCTCGATCAACGATTTCTACGAGTATCCGTACGCGCAACGACTATCGCGCACTGCCTGCTTTGTTTCCCGGCTGGCTTTCGCTTTAACCTTTCATGCCCCTCGTTCGACGCGATAAAAAGTTCAATATCGCGCTGAAAAGCTGGCTTCCCGAGTGGCACGGCGAGGGGCGTATGCAAGTACTTTTGCCGGCATTTCAAAGTGGCGAGGATCCTATTGACTTCCGGTCGGAGTTCCAGCACAACCAAAGAGAGGGGTTCCAAGGCTTGGGACTGAGAAAACTTTCCTCCTCGTCCAGGTGAAACTTCCCGCCAGCCGGAAATGGAAACTCTCGCGCCTCTGTTTCCAGGCGCGGACGCGGCATCGCATATGGCTCTCGTTTCCGTTTCTCGCTATTTCCATATCTCTTTTCTCTCACATTCCTCCTCTCTGTCTATCGTTTCTCATCGATCTTTTATCCTTTCCCGCGTTTGCTTTATTTTCTCTTCGTTCCCAATTTTTCTCTTTCTTTTTCCGTTTTTATTTTCAGATCTATTAGGATGTTCCATATGCGACAGAGGGATGAACGCGATGTGATTTTTGTGTTTGCAGGACGCTGCCAAAACGCGGATCCGAGGGGACAGTTGGACGGCAGGGATGACGGGAGGAAAATAGGCGATCTGCGCGACGAGTTACAGGCTGACGACACGGATCAGTCGTATGTGTATGTACTTTATGCATATTTGATGACCTCCGATCGAACGGGCCGGTTATCGAGCAGCTTTGTGCCGGAGGAAATAGAAGTGGACATCAATCGGCTGTTGTAAATCGACGAGCGATCGTTTGGACGCTGTTAGGCCGATGTCACACTTTCGAATTACTATTTCGACCAGGAGCGTTCCGCGTCGCGAAAATACAGGGTACAGTTGTCACGGAAAAGTTTTCGCGAGAATTCGCGATGACTCGGCTAGTTTCGATGCTCGATAGAGAGTTTGAAAGTATCATAATTGTTCTGCCTTCCTCTGGAATGTGTAACGCGTGTCTCTGACACTAGAGTTAATGAGTGAATTGGCTGGTTAATTGCCAAGGTCGGCCGTCATGTTTGTGGAGCAGTGTCAATTGTTTCAAGTGAACCTACTTTCCAGTTAATCTTAAAATAACGAGTCTACGGATACTCCTTTTTTGTCTCACAGTTTCGTCTTAATCGTCGAATTTCACAGAGATATTTTCATTTTTCTATTTGTACTTGGACAAATAAATTCGTCCTTAATTATTGCTGAAAAATTGAGAATTTCAACGGAATTTCCTATGGAAAGACAGGGTTTTTATTTGATTATTTTGATTACTATGGCTAGCTTTTAGTTGTATAGCGACGTGTCGTTTGTCATTTAAGAACATCTACAAATCCAGGCAATTTATCCTCCTACACAGTCTCAAGATTGTACGTGTAGATCCTGATCATCAAACCTCTCGAAGGCAGGATAGCAGTAGGCTATTCGTCTTCTAAAGCCAGAGAAGCATTAACTCTCAGAACGCCGGGGTCATCTGACATTAATTACTAGATGGCGCTGCGTTTCAAAAGCTCCTTTTGTTCCAATTGTTACTAAACGCACATGTAAATCAATTAGACAGAAGCATAAAGCTAATTCGCCGTATTGAAGCGCAAATTCCCCGTTCGCAGTTAATAAAAGGAGCTATATTTGGATCTGGGCTCCACCTGTACTCTCGCTTGATATTACAAAGGTTAAACGAGTTCATCCTGTTGTCGATCAATTTTTATTTCAATTCGCAAAATCGTTAATTATTCTATTTGAGATCGGTGACATCATTTTATTATGCACTTGTTTCCTGGTAGTTCGATCGCATATTAAGATCAATCAGAGACGTATCACGCCGTCAGTATCAATAAATTCAGACATGGACCACATGTGTAGCAGTGTCATATTTGCATACGGGGTGTTGCAGTTTTCACACGCTAAGGTTTCAATTATAGACACAGGTCGCTTTATTAAAAAGTTGTAACAAAAATATAGAATATAGAACAGTTAATCACGGTTATAATTACTTAGTTATAATTTTATGCGACTTGTGTTTTGCTATTTGAATCGAAACGAACCAAATTGATACTAATTACCGTTATTGATTGGCAATTAACAGTGGTTGAAAATGGAATTAATTACTGTACGACGTTCATTAATTTTTTGCATCAATTCGATAATCGAGTTCATTAAATTAGTTTTATTCAATACATTTTTTCAAAGTTCCTCACAGAAATAAATTATTGATTTATTCCCGAATTTTGTGACAGCATTTCACATTTATTTTCCAAATTTTTAATACAGCGTTAAACGATCTACATTCGTGTAATACTTTTCCTATAGGAAATTTGTTATTTCCAAACTGAAACACCCTGTATATTGATCTTCCAGCACGCGGAACGTTTTCAAAAGTCAAAGCCATCCGTGACTAAATCTCAGGTCGCCTTTCCATTCGATTCTTTCTCATGAACTTTTCTCTGATACCGTAAACCGCGAAGCTACCCTCGAAACGTTGCCAATAAGTCACTTGGACGAGGAAAGGAGAAAGAGGAAGCAAATAAAGTAAAAGAACGTGACTCGCGTTTCTTGTTTCCCCGGGAAACAAGTCCCCCCGGCGAATTCAATAAACTTGCCGATCGAATGGCCGCGAAATCGTGGTTCGTGGCAAGTTGCAGTGGATGTCGGGATCAAACGGGCCCGGACTCCGTGGAACCGATAATTACGGTGGTGCACGAAATAAGGGACGGTCGTATTACGGTGGTATTATACACTCGAACTTTCTAATTGATACGTAACACAGTCGAACCGCAGTCGTGGAAACCTGGTACCCACATTGTTGAACGGCCGTCTCAATTACGCGCTGCCACGACTTATAATTACCCAGGTCGAAAGGTCCCAGGCTAATAGGGTGTGCTGGGGTTGTTAGCAGATAGGCTCCTGAATGTAAGGGAATCCAAACTTTTCGCGGTATTTTCATTTATTATTAACGAGCAACGACCGTGCAGTTATTACGATAGTCGGTACGGCTTGACGCTCTTTGAGAACTCGCTTTGAGCGAAATTATGCACGCGACTGAAGGATCTAATAAACGTAACGATGACTAGGGTTTTTGTATCATTGATAGGTTAGATTCGTTTATGGATTGATTCTCGTGTGTAATGCGTGGTACGAGGGGTTGTTAACCCTCTGTGATGGACCATGAAAGTCAATGGCTGGGTTACTCGTGACACATACTGATCAGTATATCGGGTGTCTCGGTAACCGTGGCACGGTCAGCGGTGATTCTTCGTGGAAAATATCGAAACTGGGAGATACTTTCATTAAGAATTATTAGTTGAAACGAAATTTGATTCGTTGCTATCCAATTTGAGAAATTCCACAGTGTCTTCCGAGAAAGCTGGAATTGAATTACTCACAAAATTACCGCGATATTAGTAAACTCTATTCTTGGTGAGTTACGAGGAGTATGGAGAAGAATTTTAAGAAAAATTAATCCGTTCGTTCTCGAGCATTCCACGGTACATATTACCCAGGCAGGAACGCGAGCCAAGACATTGCTTTAATTCGCGTTGAAATGGCGATTTGCTCGGAAGAATTGCGCGGAATTTCTAATTGGATCACGGTTTATTAAGAATATCGTGCTGACTAGATCTAGGCAACAGCAGGGGTTCGTCTTTTGAGAGCTCGACGAAAGTTGTCCTGGAGGGTGGAAATATTAAAGAGGTTAAAATCTTGAAGGGGCACGCGATGTTACGCGTGCCCTGGCTGGTCTATAGCCTTTTTATTTTGTCGCGAGGGAGAGGAGAGAAAAAAGAAATGGTTGGCTGTGTTGTCCATTAGCTGGGATGCGTCTCTCGAGGGTAAAAAGGCGCTCGATGAGGACGGCAGCTCTCTCTCGTCTCGGAACGCGGCAGAGGTGCCGGAGACGGAAGCGGAAACAGTGCCCCGGGCTGACGGAAATAGGGACAAGGTTCTCGTTCCACCGGAAGGTGCTTCCAACTCATCGCTTCGGCCGGGCTTGAATGCCAGTGAGTAAAAATGTTTGCACTTCAAATCGCACCGAAAGATTCACAGGTATAATCGTGTAGCTTTCGCGGGATAAGCGTAGCTTTTACTCGCTTCCAAAGAGCGAACAGGTTGGGGACGATTTGTTATACATAGTGCACTGATTCCATGTAATACCGGGACTATTGAGATTTCGCAGTTTTTACTGCAAGTGTAAGAGAACTTTTAACAAATTTTCGGTAATTTATTATAATGGTCTAATTAAATTTAATGATGGAAATAAGTATATTAATAATGCTAATAATTTACAGCGTATTTAGGTATCACGTGTGTCACCTGTCATGTTGGTAATTTTGGTATTAAGACATTGACCACTTAGATATCGATATTTCGAGGTACGAGAATGTGCTAGAATAATTCATAACTTTGAAATCGAAGCGAAATCAGAGATTATGCAAATTACGTGTTATTATTCATAATCTGCATCAAGTTTTCGCGAAATTCCGTGAAGGGAATCAGAATTTGTACCTTAGGGTTTGTATTTATGTTACTTGTCTCAAGAGTCAGCTATGTGATTTCCGGAAATGTCAATATGAGACGGTATCCAGTAAAACTTGATGCAGCCCTGTTTGTTCTTTACTTGTTGGAATTCTTGGTATTTTCTTTTTAATTAAAAAGATGTACGGTTTGGTTGCAATCTGTGTAGCTAGAGTAGCAATTTGTTCTAAGACATGCAAATTATGTAACGTAGTAAACTAGGTATGTTTATAGATAATTATCAAAAACAGCTTTCATTGAAATTATTTCTATTATACAAGCAGTGTTCGTTAAATAGTTAACTAAATAGTTTGCTTTTAATATCGGTGAACCAAAAATTCGAATTTCCTTCGTATAATAATATAGTTCATTATAATAATTCGGAATAATTTGCTACAATTCGTAATCCCAGTATTACTCGGAATAAATATTTCAAGTCCTTGTATATCGACTCGTATCACTCGAATAATTATATTAAATTATTGCATTCGCGAGAACGCATACATCACCGAATAATCGTCACAGATGGGAATTGATATGCATTATGCGGACGCAATTTCACAATGCTTGCATGTATTGCGATATTAAAGAGAAACTATAAGTCACTATCAATAAACGTCACCGAAGATATGAAATATCATTCGACTGTGAGCAGAAATTGCCTCTGTTTATTGCATACGAAATGACAGTGTTTACCTTGGCGCATAGGTCAGTGCCTATTTCAAATAGACAAGAAACATGTTAATCAGCGCATGACACACGCATCGTTGGCTCCCTTCCCAGTTATCATACGTGAAAGACGATTTTCATCGTGCAACAATTTATACATTCATGACATCTACTAAATTCTATGTAGGATTTCTTGCTAAATTAATCCTATGCTGACAGAGATCTACGTGTCTAATAAACAACAACTCCCTTTTAATAACAAAACAGGTTTATTTAACTAAAATGTTACACCAAGTTTCTCTCAGTTCTAACTCTCAAACACACTATTCTCTATTCATACGCATTCTGCTTTCTGCCTTCTCTGCGCTCTTGCACCCTTATTTAACCCTTTGCACTCGAGAGGCGCCCTTCAGTCGCCATTTGATAAAATTTCAAAGAGCATTAAAATGTCAAATTTAAGATATTATAATGGTGTGCGAGGTATCGAAATTAAATAAATAAGTTTCTCTCAGTTCTAACTCTCAAACACACTATTCTCTATTCATACGCATTCTGCCTTCTGCCTTCTCTGCGCTCTTGCACCCTTATTTAACCCTTTGCACTCGAGAGGCGCTCTTCAGTCGCCATTTGATAAAATTTCAAAGATCAGATCATTAAAAGAGCATTAAAATGTCAAATTTAAGATATTATAATGGTGTGCGAGGTATCGAAATTAAATAATTCTGTGTTAATTATCATACGAATTCTTAGTCACTGCTCCAAAAAATATTGTCAGCTTTATAGCAGAAAATCTTCTTTAGCCAAAAAATCGTTGAGTGCAAAGGGTTAAAGTCTAACACTCTCTCTTTTCATAGCTCAAAAGCTCTCTTCGTGGATCATTCCTAGCATTCCTAGACTTTCGTTCATTGCTTGCACCGACCCAGTCATAAATATCTCATCCGTAGAATCCTTGTACAGTCCTTGGACCCATTAGTCCACACGTACTCCAGATATCGCCTAATCTAAACGCCTAAGTCGAAACCGATGCCGCTGTTTATTATTCCCTTACTAGAGTCCTTCTCGATTTCCAAATTTATCCTACGTCAATTTTAATATCAAATACTTCGTTGCCTCCGTTATCGAAAAATACTTCATATCATATCCCAGATTCGTGTCTTTCATATTTTCTCACCTACATCGTGACATATGAGCAACAGAGGCACGCATCGTTGCAAAAATAATCATCCCGAGCGCATGCAATCGTTGCATTGCGGATGTAATTCAGACCTCGCCAGACATTTCGAAAAATTCGACACAAAAGTGTCAATCTCCATCGCGAAAAGCAAATAACAAAGGAAGCCATGCAAACGTTACGGGAGAGAAAAGATTCTCGACTCAACTGTTCGCTCCCGATCGAGATTCTCCATGTGTACCAGAAATCCCTCGTTTCAACAGCGTTGACTTCGCTGGGCCGTCGAAGGGGAGACAGCAGCGACAGATCCCGCAAGAAACGGCGCAGAAACAAGGAGTCGAAGAACTCGGACGTGGATCGACAACGCGAGAACACGCAGGACGTCTGCGAGAACGAGATCAGGGGAAAACGTGGCAGTCAGACGAAGAAATCGAAGGATTCCGCGGCGAGAAGGTACCGCGCTGAACGGCGCAGGAGGAGGAAGAATCGTGACAGAAAACGCGGCAGGAAGAGGCCTAAGCAGAACGGAGAGAGAAGCGACGCTCGTAGAACGTCAAAGTTCAAACGAAGAATGAACGATGCACCAGCCTCCCTGTTACTTGGCAAGATCGATGGCCAAGTGGCGGAGGACAACGTTTCCAGCTACGATTCCTCGAATGCCACCTGGAGAAGCAACCCCTCGAACAGCACCGACACCACCTCGCCGTTCAATCTTCAGGATCAATTAACCACCGAACCCACGAGACGGCCCACGCAGACCACCACGCGTTATAAGTTGTACGAGGACACCGTCGAGAGGGAGTTCTCGAAGCAGCTGGAGAAGGAGATCTCGCGGACGCAGATGGAGGACCCGGCCAGTCTGGAGAACCGTATCCTCGGTAGCTCCGTGCCCAAGTCTTCGTATAAGAATACCGAGCATAGAGACGAGGGTTCCGGTAATACGAACGAGTCGAAGTTTGGGAATTCCAGGTACGATGCTGACAAGATGCTAGGCTACTCGCGAACGGAAGAGGATTTGCCGATCTTGGATATGGAGAACGAGGTCCTGGCGAGAACCTTGAAGGATTATAACGCTTACATGACGTCGAGCTTGAAATTGTCGATGTTACCGAGACGGGACGGGATGGAGCGCAGGAAAACCGGGGGATCGCATTTTCATGGGAAACCCATAATCGACGGGGCAGAGTTGGACGGTCTGGGCAGAAAGAAGGGCGCAGAAACGAGTAACAGCACCGTGGCATACGAGGATGATACGAAAGGGGATTTATCATGCATAAACGGGACGTTCGTGCCTGCACCCCTCGCCCGACATGCACTGATCAAATATGTAAAGTAAGTGGCTTTTAGCATGAATAATTCAACTCATCTCGAACGCCGCTCAGGCACGGGGATCCAGTCGATGCGATTTCCCTTATGACGATGGATCTTCCGCGCGTTTGTGAGCTTGCTAGCCGCATTATGTTTTCGTGCTACGATAGCGGCAAAATGCGAGCAATTAATCCTGCTTTTATGCAACAACCACTTTTATCTGGTTAGGGGATAGTTTGAATAAGCACTGGTCAAACGTCTTTGCTTTGGTTCAATTATCGTAGAAATTCGCTAAATTCAAGCATATGGGCTATCGTGTAAATGTAATTTGCAATGAATCGATTGGTTACCGACAGCGGGAGGTAATAAATACAATTGGTTTATGATTCGTAAATGTTAAACTGCCATGATGTTGCGTGTTAATAATTGTCACTAATACGACGACGGAGGTAATTAGACCGACATGTTTAATTTTGATCGATAGAAGTAAATTAACATTGCAGTCATTCAGACTGGAAACACCAGTTTCGATTTTGCGATCAAGTTTTGTTCCATAAATGTAGCTTATTAATTCTGTCTATTTAATTATCCGTGTAATTATTGATTTTCAGTTTTTTAAATTATCTCCAATGCTGTTCGTTAATAAGGACGAACACATGACTCGCAAACGCGTGGATCCTATCAGACATGTCCGCATGATCATCCTTCCCTTTGAGCATTTTGAAACGAGGTCTTTACGAGGGTATTTGCTTCCCTTTCAAGGAAAGCGCAATTGTAAAGTCCATAATTGTTGTTCTTACCGTTCGTCCCGTTTGAAATGAACCTTCTCCGCAGCGAAAAGCTTCGTTCCGAAAGCTCCTTCTTTCTTCCTTTTGGCTTGCTCCTTAATCGAGCACATGCCTCTGCGCTGCGCGGAGGAACGTGTCTCTCTATTGCCCCTTGAAATTTTCCCCTTTTCGTCAGAAAACTGAATTACTGGGACAAGTTCGTAGCCGGGATTGTAGGAGAACCAGAAAAGTTTCGGATCGAGGGCCCAAACTTTTCAATACTTCGACGTGCTGGAATTACCTGACAGCGTTGTGAAATATAAAAAGATCGTGGAAAGTAAGGGAAGTGGCTGTAATGGCAAGTAAATCTTGATTTGAGCAAATGTTGAATCAAAGGAACGGGGAACGTCGAAAGTTTGACGCTCGAGAGATATTAGGGGTGGCGTTAGAAACAAGATGGCGGTTTAGAGGGGGTTGGAGTATTAGGCGGATTTAAATTTCGTTTTGTTATTAGAGTAAACATTTTGCCAGGAGAGAAATTGATTTTGGTTTACTTTCTTCTTTGTGCAAATTTATTATTGCTTTATATAAATATTTACGTTTACTATAGATAACGTAAGTACTGTAGGATGGCGAAAATTGGTTTCGAGAATTGGTTTCGAGACACCAAAAACTGATAGAACAACAAGAACAGAATAACACGAACGCAAAACTCATAAAACTAATTTAACTTAGGAAAAGAACACACAAAGATGCACTCTAATTTAAATCTCTTTCCAACATCGACCAACTCACGCTCGTGTCGGTCACAATTAATTTTTAAGGACTCTGTTTTGGTCGTCAAGGACCCTGCTTTCATGCTTTTCTTAACCTACGTTTCACCTCCTCGTAGGGACCACGCAACTTAATTTTGCTACCCAAAATAACCTTTCCATTTGCTTCTACAAAATATTGATCGGTTTATAATTTGTTTTCATTGGCAATGGCCGATTCGCGATTTCTTTCCAAAATAGGCAACTTAATTTTGCTACCCAAAATAACCTTTCCATTTGCTTCTAGAAAATATTGATCGGTTTATAATTTGTTTTCATTGGCAATGGCCGATTCGCGATTTCTTTCCAAATGGTATCCTACAGTACTGTCTTATTTTATTATGGGTTGACGTCAAATATATATTTATGGAGATTATTTAAATAGAACATACTCGTTGGAACGAAATAACAATGGGAGAGTTACGAGTATAGAGATTCTCAATGTGTCATGTATTATACAGTGAAGCTGAATTTCAATTATGTTCCTGAATTTGATAGACTTACGAGTTTATAACGGATCAGAAACTCTTTCACAGGAGTCTACACCGTCATGTTGGAAAGTATCGATCAGATATTGTATATCCAGTAGTTGCGTAAACTTTTGAAGTTAGGGCAGTAACCAATCAGGGAATTCATTTCCACGGCCAACCAATGCAAACAAAAGTTTGTTACAAAAGCTCCGGTGTACTTTATATTCTCGGCTGCGAACTTCTGGAATGTCCTCACTGGTAAATATCAGAAAAAATTCAACGAAAATTGGGTTATGTGGACCAATTAAAGGAGAAGTAAAGGACGGCGATGAAAGAAATATCATTTGTCTAATGAAAATATCGTTTTAATTTTTAATAACGGAATTTCAGAGAGTATATTTTGAACACCATCCATAGCACGGTAAAAATCTTCGAATTTTGATAAAATTTTGAGCAAGGATTTGCGCGTTATTTTATTTGATTAATAAATTAATAAAATAAATTGATAATTTTATTTTATTAGTTTACTAACCCTTTGCACTCGACGACTTTATGATTAAAGAAGAGTAGGGGTTCAAAGATTTCCTGCTATACAAATGACAATATTTTTTTAAGTAGTAAATAAGAAATGGTATACTAATTAACACGTAGAACTATTTAATTTCGATACCTTTCATATCGTTACATTATCTTAAACTTGACATATTAATTAATATCGATCTTCGAAATTTTATTAAATGGCGACTGAAGGATGCCTCTCGAGTGCAAAGGGTTAATAATTTAATCAATTAATTCGTATTATTTTGTTATAAAATTAAAAGCTTTACCTATCCTTGCGTCACGTGTTAGGAGACTATTGTTGCCAATATTGGTAAATATTTTTTAAAATTATGTATGTTCAATTTCCTACGATGGTGATCAAACTTTCGACACAAAATCATTCAACGAGAGCGAACATATATACAATAGCCAACGAAAATATTCGAATACCATATTTCAAAAGAATTCCCTAACTTAAAAATTCTGATTTTAATGACAGTTTGCGAGTAACACGTGCAATAATATTTTTATTGACAGAAAATGACTATGTATAAAATCAACGACCAAAGTTACGACAATTTTCGTCATTCTTAAGCAGAATCTCGCAGTGAGAAATTTTTATTGTACACTGCCAGAGCACCAAAATTTAAATATTTTTCAGTCAATAAAATTTCATCTCGCATCATTATCCAATTACATTAAAAAAAAACACAGATCAAATTGTACCTATTTTGTAATGATTTCACCCACGTGAAATAATACGTCAGTAATATCTGCAAATAAAAAGAATTTAACCACGTGTACTTCATTATGTTCCATGTACATCTGTACTTCCATTAAAATTAGAATTTGTCAGTTGGAATGCTCTCTTAAAATTTGTATAACATTCGAATACCTTCGTGAGCCAGTGTGTATATACTGTAAGAGCCTATACGCTCTGCGGAGAATAACAAAGCGTCGAACATAACGCAACGGACGCTTCGACCTCAGACGAGTAGCATGATTTCCGTGGTCGCGTAAACATGGTACGACTGGCACCGATCCGGTGTTGCATTGGTCGTGGGACAGGAAGTTCACAAAGGAGAAATCGTCGGCGTGCTCCTGTGCTCAGTTTCCTCGTAGACTCAGTAGTTCATCCACGCATCTCTCCGCCCGATCACAATATCCCGTCTCTTATTTCTCGCTGATCTACCTATCTACGATATATCCTCCATTCAACCGGTAAGCCTATGTTGTATCGATTAAAGCATTTCAAATTACCGTGTGATACGTACCACGGTAGTTTGGCCATTATCTTGGCAAATATTTGATGTCCGCAATCGCCATTTTCTCAAGATCGTCGATACCAGGCCACGAGTACTTGGAAGCAGACTACGAGTGCGCTCCAGGATTCTACATGGTGAGCACAACGAACAGATTACTGTGCAGAAATCGCCAATGGATAGGGCAACTACCAAAGTGTAAGATCAAAGCGAATCTCGAAGGTGCGTGCATCGAGGCCTCCTGTGATCACGTTTGCAAAGAAGTCGATGGCAGACCGGTGTGTTCCTGTTACAAAGGTTTCGTGCTGGAGGGTGACAAGTGTATCGGTAAGTTACATCTCATTTGCATACTTTCGTGTTACCGAGGCTTCGAGTACGACGTAATAACACTTAACTGCCATGCCCTCCATCGCTGTAACTAAATTTCCTCGCGCTTGAGCCACGAAATAGATATTCCATTTCGACGATCGGAAACGTCCAATTTTCGTTAATCGTATTTCGGATTACCGGCGATTTTAATTACGACATTATCGCATGATGATTTTTAATAGAAATTATACGCGTTTGATCTTTCCATAGACCGTATCACTCGCGTTGCATATTAACGAGTGAGCATGAAATATAGAGTATACCGGGCTAATCTTTATACTCAGTGGGACGTAACAAATTGCTCTGGAACGTTAATTCTTTATTGTATCCGATATTCGTTAAAATGCACGAGACCTAATCGTTGCGATGAATAAACACGGGCAATTAAGTGTTGAAAATAGTCTCTTGCGTTGGAACTTAAGTATTGAATAGTAACTCGGTATAGATAGTAACTTAGTATTGGAAACCATTTTTAATCCAGCTTAAATTGTTTTCAATTTATTGTTAATTTATTTTTAATTAATTTCCGATTTATTTCATTTAATCCAAGTGATCGTATATTTTATTACTGATTTTTAGTTTATCGATCGTAGGAATATCGTAACCATTTCAAGGCAAGATTTTACAAGATCGTTATCCTCGAGGAACGTAAAATATTTTCGACGAGTAATCGTGAAATTATCGTAAAATTGTAACGTTTCGTGATCCGATAATACCCGTGATAGTTCGTCGATTCGAACGTGCCATGACTTGCCACGGTTTTCATCCCCCTGTCTTCTGTTCTCGTTTTTAACGGTATGAATACTAAAACGCAAGAAACGATACCATTTTCCCTCGGAAGGCGATCTGTCGAGGCGGTGGAAAAGAAATTTCCCGAGATGAAATATCGACAGGATACTCGTTGAAATATCGACAGTATCCGCGTTCTGCTAGAGACAAGTTCTTCCTGTCCGTATTAAAACATCAACGATTTCGTTCCTGAAATCCATTCCCCCTATTTTCTTCTTCACCGACGAAATATATCAGCTCGTTCCTCATAAAACCGAGGGACGGTTATAAAATTTTATATCCAGCTTCGTTTGTGCATACTGAAACGGATAGAAATGCTGGAAACCGAGACATCGCTCTGGTCTCGTCTCTTTCTATATGTTCCCCGAGTTTATCACGGGGTAGATCTTAATTTTGGTGTAGGTTTACGAGTACAGGTTCATCTTCATTTTACTCCATGAAATTTCTTCGTTTAGGTACAATTTTCAAGAAACATTTAACAAATATCTAATAAAAATCGCGTCTCTTGCGTTTATCACCGAATAGATCTTAATTTCGGTACAAGCTTCTGAAAAATAATTCTTTTCAATTTTCCAAATCTCATTTTAGAGGGTTACTTAGCAACAGCTTATCCTAGAAATTTTATTCCATAGAAATTTTTGATTTCGATATAGATTTACAAAGAAAGTTTTAATTTTAGTAATTAATCTAAATTTCTTCGGATAGAAATGATTTTAAAGGGATTCCTGGCGACAATTGAGCGCAAACGGGGGGTTAAAGAAGTCCAGGACGGGAATTGAATAAAACACGAATCGTATAAGAAGTTAGTCGATTCGAGTTGAATGAGAAAGTAGTTTAAATCAAGAGAAATTTCGAATTAACGGCTGTTGGAAAAATTAGGTCCTGGCGTACGGTAAAATATCGTTAATCCAGGCGAATCGCGAAGACAGGTAATCCGAATTAGTTAAAAGTCTGGCTTAACCGACTACGGTGAAACAAAGTTCCACTCTATTCCAGGGAGGATATGAAAAAGAACGTGAAAGAATGGCTGACCGGAATAAATTGGTGGAACAAGAAATACGAGTCGAATGAAACTTTCAAATAACTAAGTTTCCATGAGCGAGATTCATTCTATTTACATATCTCTTCGTTAATGTTTTCCCATTTCAGAATTTCGCGTTATCCTTTCAAGTGTCCTTCGTATCGTATCGCGCAGTTTGCATTGCATTTTCGTAGATATTCGGTTAAAATTTTTCGCCACGGGAATAAACGAAAAATAAACGAAGAGTCGTCCATTTCGAAATTAAATCTAAAAATTGTAATGAGGTAAAAATTCATTAAACGTCGCGTTTTTAATTTCTACGAGAGACGTTATTGATTTTATATTTTTAAAAAAATTCAGATTCGAATTGAAATTAATTTAATTACCGTGTAATTAATGCTCGTTTCTCGTAAGAGAATATTCAAGGAACACGATACACGCGTTGAATCGTTATTATCCTTATGACGGATCACCCACGCGAGATAAATCGAGATCAGAAACGTCGCGTGGAGTTGGCAAAATTTCAGAAATTACACGTACTCGTTAAAATTCAGATGTGAACGAATGCAAGGATAACAAGGGAGGTTGCGAACATAAATGCGTGAACACCGCGGGATCCTTTCGTTGTGAGTGTCCAAAGGGGATGAAACTAGAGGAAGACAGGTTCACGTGCAAGGGTGAGTTATCTGCATCGGATATACATTCTTCGAATATTTCGTTCTCTCTCACGCTCAGTGAGAAAGCAACAAGTGTAAACGCCATCGCAAAAATCGATGTCGATTATTACCGAAATTTCGATCACCTCTATTTATATTTATCTAAAAATGTTAGCAATTTCTTCCTTTCCCATTTTATTTTTCGCTTTATTTATTGCTTTATTATTTTTCCATGGAACAAATTATTTTGAATCGTGCAATTCGAATATATCTTTCAAATTTATATTTCACGAGTTTACGTAACCTCCGATATCGGGTGGAAAATGGTGTAAGTGATATCTCAGTACAAGTTGTATCACAATTTCCCAGCAGATGGAAAGCACTTAGCAGGAGAGACAGCTAAATGACCAAACAATTGAACAAATCTATTAAAAAATTTTTATATTTCTTCGAATTTTACTCATTGATAAAACCTGTTAAATACAATTTTAGTCACGCGCAAATACGTAAATGCAAATAGGTAATTGTGATATTTGACACTATGCACAACGAGTTACGAGATATTTGGTATTACGTAAAATGACTTAAATAGGTACAGGGTTTTTCGAGAATTCAAGATTTTCTGTACAGATGGAAAGTATTGGGAATTTTAAAAAGGAAAATTTGGGGTTTCCTGAATTTAAATTTGGGTATTATTTGTTGCAAGTTGTTTAGGGTGGTTTCGATGATACGACACTCTGAATGTGATGGCTGTAAGAGAAGTTTTATTTGGGGTGAATGGTGGACTTGCAGAGATGGAGGATTTTTGTGGAAATTGTGATAATTAGGTATGACGAATATTCATCGTCGATGCGAAGAATAAGAAGAAATGTAAAAATTGGAGGCTAGAAATTACTCGTTACGCCATTTTCCATTATCCCAGATACCCATTGCATTACTCGATCGAGAAACGAGAACGTGCCAGATATTCACGTGTCAGTCGAATTTGAACTCGAGCCAGAGGAACGTAAAATTATTCGTACGATTTCGTTACGCAGACATCAACGAATGCCTATTGAACAACGGACACGGACCTTGTCAGGATACGTGTCGGAACACCATAGGCGGCTATGAATGTTCCTGCGACGGTCTACAGGACACCGTGCTGTCAGCCGACAACCACACGTGTCAGGACGCGGGCCCGTGTAGCGTCAACAACGCCGGATGCTCCCACACCTGTCTCTCCACGATGGGACGAGTATTTTGTCTCTGCCCTGACGGTTTCATCCTAGAGGACGACTGGAAGACCTGTCAAGGTAATGGAATTTGTTCCACGTTTACCAGCCTTCCTCTCCCTCTCCCTTGTTTTTCCTTCGAGTCATCCAGACAGAGGAAATTTCAATATCCCACACCGCGGAAGAACCCTGAAAAATATTGAATTACAGCGTGTCCCAAGCGAGAACGAGTGACTCCATCATCGCGTTTGACTCTCCATAATGTAGTACGTGCGGTGCATTTAATCGTGACATTATCGATCACGAAACCAAAATTCCCTCCTCGAGATTTCCCTTAAATCACGCTCAATAGAGGCACAGGACGTTTGAATCGGAAATTTTTCCGTGGGTATTTTAAACGGTCCATGGATGCTGCGAACGATCTGTATAGTTGGTTAAAATTTCTCCAGGCAAATTAGATAGTATAGATTTACAATGCCGTTTCGCGCTGTTATCCTGCATATTCGAGTCGCCAGGGATTTTAAATGAAATTTCGAGTGTTAAACGCACACGTATTTGCATACGTGAATTTTTAATCGCTGATGTTGCACTATGCTAACGTAGTAATACAGTGGTGTAGATTTACATTTATCGTAATATATTATACCGTAGATTTCGAATGAAATTTCGGCAGTGTTAAATATACGTATATTTGCATCGGTATAAGTATAAATCATATAACGTTTCGATTTGATAAAGCGCGGAGTTCGTTTCGCGTAATTTCTCTGCGAATATGTATATATGCAAGGGTTCGTTGTTCTATATGTTCAACAAATTGAGAACAACGTTCCGCAAGCAGGAGACCTCTTAATTAGTCTCGTCAGAGAAATCGAGAATGTGTGTAATACGCGTGTGCAACAGACTCGTGGACAGAGACATTCCTCTCCTTTTATGTTTCCAATCTCCTTTTTTGCTTATGCACAAAGGATACATCGTTTCTAAAGATGCACGAGTCATTAATGAGTTCTTCCTGTTAATAGCTCGCTTTCAAGAAGCTTCTTTTATTCCTGGGAAAATTTTTTCAAACGAATATAACGTCGATCATTTTCTGTATTTAATATTATAATTACATTCGGAGATAAAAATTTGTAAAATCTGTCGAAAGTCACGTTTTTCAGGCTCGTAATTAAATATAATAATTAATATGATTAGAAAAGGATATTATTAATTTCTAGCAGGGGAGGGTTATTGTGTGAAGACTTTTCATTGCAATTCTTTCTTCGTGCAAATTCTGGAAGGACTGTTTGAAACGAATAAAGGATCAAAAATTTATATTTTATTATCCTAGAAATGACAATAATTCCGCCTTTGTTCCTTTTGAAAAATTGAATACATGTATTATCCTTTGCTCCGTATATAAGAAGCTTTGCTCGAATAGAATCTTTTATACAAAAGTCTACTAAGACCCTTGGTTATTATCCCATTGATTCACGAGAAAAACCGTCAATGCTAGTAAAATTCGCTTATTCGAAAATATTTTTCTATTAGGCGTCGGCTCTATCCGAATTACTGTTTTGCTTACATCGGTCACTGAAAGAGAAGGTAAACGGGTGCTCGAATTCGGTTACTCTGGTATAACCTGTGGTTTGGTAAACAAGGATTTATGGGTAATCAAAGGAGAAATCGATGAACTTCTGTCGCAGAATCGAACCAAATAACCAAAATGTTTTCTTCCCAGCTGTGCTAGGTTAAACGAAATTCCATCGCAGCACTTGCCGCGAAATGATCCGCATAAAGGAGAATTAGCATTAAAATTTAACAAATGAAATATGATGCTGTTAGAACTTACGCATTTAAATATATGAATACTTTTACGTTTATTATTCGTGCAAAGTAACATACTAAACTTTTCCCGTTTCAGCTTCCACGGTATTCTCTGGAAGCTAATTAGGAACTGACCCATAACATTTATCCTTCCACCCACATATTCTCTATTTTCTTCGTTTAATTCGGGCTAACTCCGCAGACATTCTTGGGAAACATTTTACGATGATCCTTTTTACGCCTCGGTCTCAAAGCTCTTCTTCAAGCACTTCTATATTTAATTATTAATGGTCCGTCATTGAGAAATAGAGTTCACCGATGCAGAATTTTCATTTGCACGATATTGTCACCAAAAATTAATAAATTGTCATAAAAATCAATCAGAGATTTTGGTATCAATTAGAGTAACTTAGAGCAGTTAGGTGTGAGCTAGGTGTAAGTCGAGTTTTTTTTTAAAAAATACAAAAATTTTCTACCAAAAATTGAATCACTAATCAAAGAAAGAAGACACAAAGGTATTTCATTCCTTTCTTCAATATAGGCGATCACGTTCTTCCAAGAAAAGGGATAATTTGATCACTATAAGTTTGGAGATCCCTTATCTAACTACACTCCTTTCGAGTTAATACACTTCTGTCAGAAGAACACCTATAATATTTGGAATCTTCAATATCGATGATCTTAACAAATATTAAATTATCTTTCATCGAGAGAGGAATGAAATTATTGATCCAGGAGCGAAGACTTCATGTATGTTTCGTTTACTTTCCAGATGTGGACGAGTGTGCCCAGCCAGATTTGCAGACGGAAATGTGCCGGTACGGCTGCATCAACACCGCAGGATCTTATCGGTGCGCTGAGCCAATGGAGTTGAAGGATCAACCGATACTGGACAGCTTGTCGATCACGTGCCTGCCGGGCTACGAGGCCACCCCCGATGGAACTTGTATCGGTAAGTGGTTTAATCCGTACGGGTGATTTAACAGGAAGTTGGATTTGCCGGCTAAGCCCCGCGGCGGACACTTTTCACTGCGAACATCCACTCGGGCCCCGTAATACATTGTACTTCGGTCATCCCGCCATTTCTGCCATTCCGTCAGCGTTCCTCCGCTTCGCGAGACCGATTACCGATTCCTTCAATCTTCTAATTCGAATGCGATCCCTGGTGTTAACCCTTTGCACTCGAGAGGTGAACCTAAGTCACCGTTTAATCAAATTTCGAAGATCGAAGTTTAAAATAACGCAACGATGAGTGGAATGTCGAAATAAAATAATTCCAAGTGTTAATTTCTATCCGATTTCTTGTTTACCGATTTAAAAATATCGTCGACTTTATTATAGCGGAAAATCTTCGAATTATTGTCCTTTTGTAAGGAAAAGATTAACGAGTGCGGAGGGTTAAATTTATAATAAGTTGTACTTTGGTCGTCTCGAGATTACTCTGATTCTGATGGTATTTTCCTATTTTATGGAAGGAATAAGTAGCTCTTTGGAATAGGTTTATACAGTATATAAATTGTAATAGATTAGATTTGTAAATTATAAATTAGTCAAATTTTCAGAGTAGATTTTTGAAGTCACTGGTGAGTGATCTATTGTTTTCAAATTTAGGTGTAAATTAGTCTAGGAAATTGACGTCACAAATTTTTGAATATTTTCAACGTAGCAAATATTTTCTAAATTTATAATTTGGACGTCAATGTAGAAATTTCAAAAATTATTTCAATCTCTCTATTTTCTCTATGTACAATTATTCTACGTTCTACTGACAGGTGAACGCTTTAATTGCTATATTATACCGTCAGGAATAATCAGGTCAGTTCGTCGTTTAGACGAAGAATAGACGAATCTCGAGTTAGGTGTCTTTATATACACTTGCTGATGCACCGTATTCGAAACAACGAGACATCCTTGAATTCGTGACGACGATATCCTTCGTTGACCGGCATAATTGCGTTTGTCGTTCATTTCGCGGCGCGAAATTTCAGTACAGCCAACCGATGGGTAGTACGATAACAATTCCCCATGGGGAGATGAGCGTTCTAACGAGATTCTGCCGCCTGGTCCTAGTCGTGCCCCATAATACCGTTCTAGACGATCCGAGTACGTAATCGAATTAGCTTGCACATGGATCCACTCGGTAGGCTGGCGGCTTCTCCGCTGCAATATTGGGTCGAGATTCTGGATCATCAACCGTCGGAAAACTGTTCGAATTAATAGCATCGTGGTTGCTTGGATACGTTTCGGTTAATTTCGGGCAAACTTGTCAATCATTTTCCAATTGTTCCAGTAAATTGATAAAATATCCTGCAGTTGTAGACTCTGTTCTACAAATTCAGATGGAAGTCCGATGGAAGGATCCGTGTCGAGGAATATACAGTGTGTCCATTTCATCTGCAAACGTGCAATCTCGAAAGACATGTCTGATGGAGAAAACTATTTTGGATAATTATCATAGAATTATTGGATGTCAAGTGTATCTGCAAATATGATGTAGTTCCTATTTAAAAATTTCACTGGATTTTTGGAGATTTACAGGATCAAAGTATCATTATGATTGGTCCTTTTTTATATGCATTCCAGATAAAATAAACACACTGTATAGTACTTTGTTTCGATAGGAGATATTTTATTTCGTATTTATAAAATTAAAATTTAATAAATTTTATATTTAATCGTGTTTGCATTGAACAGATAAATAATTGCATAATTTGATAAAGTAACGTGGTTACGGTTCCAGAAAAATGAATTTGATGAACAGTCAGTTATGATTTTCATTGTTTTTAGAATTTGCAATATTTCATTTTAAGATTGTAATGGAATGATAACAACGATATTAACAAGAGTCCTATTCCACTGATAAACTGTTGCATTTGTAAGCGACTCTTGGGCCTGCAGCTACATTTTGTACTTTCTCCAGATACGTCTAGAAATTTGCATCTGTATCGTTCTTACTGTTACTTCGTAATTAGAGTCTTCAGCGAAGTAAATGCTCTAACAAGATCCCATTTCCGACTTCGTTGGTCTTTGCAACACTTAAACTCATTAGACCGTGCGATCGAGTTATGAGAGGGAATTGATATGCAGATGAGAAGACGTATACTTGATGATCTTTCATTGTCAACTTTCGTTCACTCTATGTCATATACAGAATTTTATTCCACTTACGAAAATTGTATTTTTTCGAGCATTTCAAAGCGTTTCCTCTTTTTGATTTTCCACTCGAAAATAGGCCGAAGTATAAATGCAAATTAATCGCGTCAAAAATTTTAGGTAAAAATCGTGATTAAGGGTGAAAACTGAATAGAACTCGGTTCAGTTGTTACTGTTTGCTTGTGTCGAGTATGAATTAGAAACTATACTTATCATCGCAACTATCTAAGTGGAATTAGTCGAATACCATTGTCAACACATAACATCTTATTAGACCCATTTGTGTATTGAGATGTCAATATGAAACTTGGGTCCTAAATTCAACTATTTGTCATGCAAAACTTGTAGCTTTGCGTCTTCCTTAGTCTCCGTCAAGCCATTTCAGAGATTAATCTATGGAACCATGGAACTATCGAATTTTACCAATGAAATACGATATTGCTATTAGGTATCTCGATATAGCTTGCTCTTCCACTGAGACTTTCCTTCGGTTTTCAATAATGGAAGAAAATTTGGAAAATCATGATTTTTCTATACCTTTTCCACGTGGAAAAAGAACTTCATCGGATAAATAATAATTCGATTAGTAATAATTACTTCAATATAGTAATCGGAATAATCCCAATATCCTTTCAAACGCGATACTACTTAAATAATAATTCGATTAATAATAATTATTTCAATACAGTAATCAGAATAATCCCAATATCCTTTCGAACACGGTGCTCGGAATAATTTTGAAATATTTCCAGCAGAGCAATCGGCATAATTTCAAAACTCTTTAACACTAGAACTACCGATCATTAATAGGTACTTAAACATTATAGATAACGATTATAGATAATAGTAATTTTAGTGGTAGTATAAAGATGAGCAAATATATCAATCACAGTTTTATCACAATAAATTTTTAAAAAACAGGTATATACCTTCAGTAATTGCAAAAAGGAAAGTTCCCAGACCAGTAGTCCTAGTGTTAAACAGAGTAACTAAAAAATTCTTCCAATAGAATAATCAGAATAATTCCCCAAAACTCCTCAATTAGAATAACATCGGAGTTCTTTCCATCTGACAATCGAAATATTTTTCATTCTCCAATTTTAGTCCATCAGAAAATTAGTAAATATATTAATCACAGTTCTATTTCAATATGAGTGGACAATAATTTTTTTAAAAGTAGGTATTTGTTTTGAGTAATCGTAAAAAGGAAAGTTCCCAGACCAGTAGTTCTAGTGTTAAACAGAGTAACTAGAATAACTCCAGAATCCTTTCAATAAAATAATCGGAATAATTCCCCAAAATTCCTCAATTAGAGTGATATCGGAGTTCTTTCCATCTGACAATCGAAATACTTTCCATTCTCCAATTTTAGTCCATCAGAATATTTTAATTCCGCGAGGACTCCAAGGAACCAAGAGACGAAGTTTTACGAAACTCAATTCTCACCCTTCGAACCCTTTCCTAATTTGCCTCCGTTTTACAGCTCCAATTCGAAACGAACTCGTCGGGGGGTTGCAGGAAACAGTCGTCGGAGGGACGGAATGATTTAAGGGGGTCTCTATAGGCATCACCGCGTTCGCGATTCCGATTACAAGGTGACAGTTCGCCGGAATTTCCCCCAGGGGGCATAAACGGCAGCTGGTTGAAAAGACGGGGATAAATGCGAGAACGGGGATGAATTCATTAATGAAATTATGCTCGGTTCATTATATAACGCACGGGGTGGTTGTTTCCGGCGGAGACGAGTTAATTCGGAGGAATTAAAAAATTCGCGGTAGCAATTTATCGGGAAGTTTGAACGGGCTGAAATGAAATTTTCAGCTTGGCACGTCGTAAATCGTCGGTATACCGATGATTAATTTTTCGTTCAGGTTGTTATGATGCCCCGCTGAGCAGCTGCGGATGACAACTTCGGGGATGGTTCGCTTTGAATTATCGAAACGTTGTTTTTATTAATTACCCAGTGAAACAATGAATCGTACACATTCGGGATGTATTTACTTGTCAGAAGATTCGCAAATTTCGCCACATTTAACCAACTGTCAATGAAACGTGCACGAACCGTTTCAGAAAGGTGTTGTTGGGATCCCCCCACTTTATTTACTTTATTTTGAGGGCTGTGTTGTCTTCGGTCTAGACTCTTGCGGTTCCTACTGATGTAGTCTAGTGTTCCTATAGTACTGACCTATTGGTAGATATCCCCGTGGTCGACGTTGCTATTGATAGGGTAGCAGGTAGAAGGAACCTCCAGCAGACCAATCACATTCCAATTTAACATACGTTTAATGCGCTAGAAACTAGATACGATAGTACACATATAAAAGAACCAAAACTTACAAAAGGGTTACAGATGAAAACTTAGGCTATGAGATAGATGGCTCCAGCATGAAGCACTCGCGATCTGAAATCAAACTTAATCTACCTTATCGCTATAGGATAATATAAACTTAAGAGCTATCTTATATTAGCATACCTGTTTGCCTATATAGAGTTTTTGCTTTTAAGTTGGTAAGGTGCAGTGGGTGGACTAGATAAATAAATAAATAAATAAATAAATAGGAAGAGAGAAGGATGAGGGAGGAGGAGGTAGATGGGGTATATATTTTCATTTATTTCAAGATTATATTATACATTATCAGTAAGTATGAGTAATCTGAAAATTATGGAAAACAAAGCGAAAATGATTAAGTGCGAGAGATAAGAGGGGAAATAAAACGAGAATTTATCCTCTCCCTGTTGGGGATACTAGCCATCGTACTAAGGAGGATTTCATGTTGAGTTTGATTTGTTTATTGGTAC